ACAGTCAGAGATTCCCCTTTGCTACGTTTAGTAGGTTTGTACATCTTAGCACATTTGCATGTTTCACAAAAGGGATTCTTTGGGGTATGTGTCATCATGTGCCTAAGGGTCCTGGCCTCTTCTCGAAGTGCAGCTTCACCACGATCAATCGCCTTTGGTTCAGGCAACTGAAGTCGACCGTCAACTGGTTCTTCAGGAGCTTCGGCTTCATCTTCCGAACCTTCGACAACGTCTGGTGTCATGGCTGCTGGCGGTCCGGGTGCAAGTTCACCAGGAAAGAATTCTTCGAGGTCGTCGATAGCTTGTCCGGGAATTTCATCGTCGTCAGCGATGGAAGCCTCGTAAGGTACTTCGACCTCCTCGACTTCATCATCGGACTCGGCACCGACGGCTGACATGCGAGACCTTCGAACAGGTGAGATGATGGGCTTGCCGTTCCCGGCAGCGGAGTTCCATGAAAACGGAATCCCTACTGCAGCGGGTACCTGGCCATCTCTGGATGGTAGATAAGGAACAAAATCTTTGACTTCAAGTTTGATCTTAGTTCCATCTTTCTTCTTGAAATATGGGCGACTAAAGCTTTTCCAAACAAAATCCCATCCATCTTGAATACATCTCATCCCTACCGATATTACAGCCGGGGTATCGGGAAGAACATATGGATGAACTTCTTTGTCGATGCAATCAATATGAACAGAAGCTTGTTGGTCAGCTGATTGGGAACCATTTGCAGTGATTAATTCAAGGGGTTCATGAGAGTGATACACGATGTCGTCGGGAATCATCTTGCTGCAAACTAAGTCCTGTGCACTACCAGTGTCAGCGATCCATGCTATCTCAGCGGATGCGTTACGCTGCTGGGACGGCATGTGTCCTGGCAGGGCATTCAGGTCGGAACGGATGCAGTGGCGACAGCCGATATCACTGTCACATTCAAAGCTGCATTTGCAAAGCTTACCATGCAACTCCCGAAAGACAGCTGATTGCAACATCTGTGCTGCAAGTATTGCATCACTTTCTCTTGCTTCGATCGTATCTTTATGAGTACGATCGTTCTTGGTGATGCGAACTGGATTGAAAGTTCGTTGTTTGGCTTGGCACGGATACAAATTACAAGTTTGCTCAATGGGAACTTCGAAGATTTCATCGTTGCCCCCAAATGAAACAGTGCGATTGGGTGTAACTGGCATGGCAAAATGCTGGTTGAAACAATGCGGAGAGGCGATGCCTTCCGGCACGCGATGAGTGCTGGTCGAAGGGTTGACGACTGCGACCATCATCAGAGCGCGCATCAGGCAAACTGCAGCTGAGCCAGAGGAAGATGGTTTTCCCCCTTTGTCCTTGAGACTCTGAGAGCCTCTCGAGGAATTGGAACCTCGACTTGACGACCTGGAGCGATCGCCCTTCTTCTTGTTCTTCTTCTTCTTTTTCTGGCTCTTTCCACGCTTGTCATCTTTGGTAGATGCAGCTGCAGGCTTTGGTGGGTGTTGAAAAGCACAGTCATTACCTCGCTGACATTTACCTGCCTTCCAAAACTTACACACCTGGTTCCTAGATCCTGGAGACAAAGACCGACCATTGCCCCTTGACTTGGACCTGGACTTGCCTTTCTTACCTTTCCCTTTTCATGTCTATATCGGCAATCCTTTCCCCTGGTACATTTGCCGGCCTGGAAGTCATAGCAAATGCCAGTGGGCTTTCCCGCGGACGGCGGCCTCGTGGGTGCTGGCGTTGCATCTCTTTTGCCTGAAACGGACTTCTTAGTAGCCTGTCTCATCTTCTCCAGACGTCTCCTCTCAAGGTAGTCCCTCGCAGCTTTCATGAGAAAATCATAAGAGCGGTTGGGTTCCCCCTCCGGTGTGCGATCATACACAGCCAGATCATGAGAGAGAGGCTTGAAGTTCTTGATGGCGTTGTGAAAGTAGGCTTGCTTCCACATCATGTCAGGCTCGGAAGTCATTCCAGCGATCACAGCGTCCCATCGGGTGATGAAACCTCTGAGATCATCATTGACTAAGGTAACAGCCATGAGGTCCTCAATGTCGTACACTGCACCATGCTTCCTACTTGTACTAAAGTGTTTATGAATCATGAGCAATGCCTGACGTCCCCTAGCTGGTGTCCCTGACTTGGCTTGTTCTTCTTTAAAAATGTCAAGTTGCCGTGCAAAGTCCCCTTCGCAGATGTTGGTGAGCGAAGACATGAGCTTTGCGTCCAGGGTCACGAATTTACCTGAGTCCTTCAAGGCATCGACAGACTGATCTGTCCTGAACACTTCTTCTACCCATTGAAAAGCTAGGTCGGGTTTAGCAGAAGCAGCAATTATGGCATCCCTTACTCGGATTCTCCAATTCCTATAATTTTCGGGTTGAGGGAACTTAGGAACTAGGATCCTATCAGACTCTTTGGCCTTAGTATCAGTAGTCCTAGAACGCTCTAAGGCCCTTGTGACCCTTCGTGCAAAGGAACTCTCAGATCCGAACTTGACGTTGTAGGGGATGTCGATGATGAAGGTGAAGATGAAGGATCTCTCCGACGTCGTCGTCGCGATCTGCCACGACTAGTCTTTCGGTCCTTCCTCTTATCTTTCTTGTCCTTGCGACCTCTCTTGTCGTTATAGTCGTCATCATCATCGTCATCTCCTGGAGGTCCACCGCCGGGCAATCCCGGTGGCTTTGAAGGTTCTGCCAGAAAATGCTCATCGTCAGCATCTGATGAATGCTGAGGCTTCTTGCTTCCCGAAGCTATCTCCTCAATGATTGGACCTTTGGGCTTCGAGGATTGTGGAATGGGTTTCCCTGAACCATAGTGAATCATAAGTCCAGGAGTTCCCTCCAGAGGTTGAGACTTTAAATTCCGGATGAGCTCTTTCTGCTCCTTCCGAAGTTTCTCAATCTCCGCCTCGAAGTCCTTCTTCTGAGATTCGGCCAGCTTGTGCATGTTCAAAGCGTGTTGATTCATCGCATCAATCTGAGTGCGGTACTCGGCAAGTTCTGAACGTGCTGCCTGCAGATCAGCATTGGACTTCTCCGCAGACGATGTCAAGACACCTGCATTGTTGACCACATGAGTCAGCTCGGCACTCAGTTCCCTGATGCGATGATCCTGCGCTGTAACCTGCAGTTGAGCAGACTTCTGCTCACTCATCGCCTGGGCGGCCTGTTCGTTCAACAACAGGTTTCTCCTGGAAATTTCTTCGGCTGCTTGTTGTTCAACGCTTGCAAGTTGATAATCTCGAGCCTCACTCACAAGCTCCATTCGTTGACGTTCCATGACCTCAGAGTGACGTACATTCGCCTCATTCTGCAATGCCTGCTGTTGAGCAGCCATGAGCTGGTTCGCCAGGTTTGGATCAATGCCTTGTTGTACCACTGCCACGTGGGCGGTACGCTGATCAACACTGTTAAAGTTGATGGTGTTGAGTTGGCTGATGTCAATGTTTGAATCCAAAACACCTGGCATGTTCCTGCGTGGATCTTGACGGCATGGGTCAAACTCTTCATCCAGGTAACTCATGTCACCTTCAGTTGTTGCCGCGCCTGAATGGATTACCACTTCCTCCGGTTGTGTAGTTGTCGCCAAAGCCAATGCAGCCGAGGCGTTCCCGCCCGGGGCAGGAAGCGCAGGGGGAGTGGACATTGCGAAAACTACGGAGAAAGAACGACAAGTGTGAAACAAAGGAAACCAGCGATCGCTTGGCGATACGGCTGATAACCTGTAGAAATACGGTAACAGCCACCACACACCACAAACGGGACACACTGTTTCTTGAGCCATATGCACACAAGTAGAAGAGGTGAAATGCTATATACATAGAGTACTACTGTGCATCAACATATATATATGTGATTAGGTATAATAATGTATAACTTATGTATGTATATATATATATGCATTGTAAGAAACACACACATACATACACACACACATATATATATATACTTATAAAACATGTATATATATATAATTATACACTATTATACACGTGTATGTGCTACGTGATGCTGCATGTATGCTGCATGTCTATTTTGTAGCTATGCGCCCCCAATACACCGATGAGTTGTTCTGGGGAATCACCGGAGCCACGGCTCCCTGACACAGCCCGCCCTTTTCCGTTGAGTGCACAAAATGGGTTTAAGATGAGTTTAAGCATCAAAATTGGGACCAAAAACTTCTGGCCTCGAACCTATCCATCTATTCATCCATCCATCCATTATCTATCCATATCTGTCCGTCAATCCATCCATCTTTCAATCTATCGATGTACTCGTCTCTCTCTCTCTCTCTGCAACGCCATCTCGGAAGTTCAGCTGCCGGTCTGACATGGTCTGACTATCTCTCTATATATAGTTATCTGGTTACTTATTTTTCATTATCTATCTGTTTATCTACCAAGTGGATTTATACCTCTTGGTTCATTGGTTTGTGCATTTGCTTTTACAACTCAGCCTCAAAAAACTTCAAGAGGCCGTTTTGGCTTCCCAACTTTGCGAGTTCGATAGCCGTGTTGCGCTTCTAATATGGCAGTCCAAAGGGGGCAAATAATGCCTTTTGCGGCTGCGTCATTGCCCCACTCTGACTACGGAGGGTGGACTTCCTACGGTCTGTTGGTCGGCTCGGTGTTTTTGAGCGCAGCCATACTGTAGGATGTCTGGAGGTTGGGCAATTTACAAGTGTAACCTGGGAAATTGATAAAGATTGTCGAACATTTGTTGAATATTATCCTTTGTTTCAACATGTTTTGATCAGTGATGAGCCAATGAGGGCACCACCCATTTCAGGACTGTGGAGCCGACTCAATACCATCCTTTCAGTAATGAGCCTGTGGATGCTCACAGTCTAGAACTGGCGCAGCGCCACCAGCGGTCTTAGCTGCAAGATATACATCAAAAACCACCCGTTCGGTGACGCAGTTGATGGAAAACAAAACACTGCAAGATCTTCAAGCAGCCCAGCGAAGACGATGTGCTATTTTGTGCTGGTACGTTGCAACATTACAACCCGTGTCAACTGCGCCAATCTCTTTCTTCCATCAACCGATGCCAAGCTCAACGTTCTAAAGGCTTTGCTGTGACTTTACGCTCTCTACATCTGGCTGTGGCCGTTCAAACAATGATATGCCCCCCTGTGGGCGGACTCCCTTTGGGAATGCCCGGAAGAGTGGCAGAGGAGCGTTCTATGTACCAGGAAGTGGATCCGGTGATCCCGCACTTCCTGGGCGAATTCAGTGTGCCGAGATCCCAGGAGCGTGGGCACCTGGGACGAGTCCTAGCCGTCATCCGTCAGCAGCACAAGGGGACGGAGATGGTAGTGCCATGGGAACCAAAGTGTGGCACCCTGTGGCCACACTCTCGTTTCCTCAGTGCCAAGATGGAATGGCCATTGGCTGCCCACACCCAGATTTTTCCGAGTTTTCCAACAGTTGGGGATCCTCAACCGTCTGGAGTCATCCTGACCCTAAACCGACAGGTTACCCCGCACCCGATCGTGCTCGCCAAGTTGCAAGCTTTCGTAGGATCTCCTGAGGCCGCTTGGCAGCCAAGCAGCGCTGACAGTTGAAACTGGAGCTTCGTTTTTTTTAAATGATGGAAAATGACACTGACAGCAAACTCAGATTTAGCCGAAGCTGTTGGCACTGTCAAGCAAGAAGCAAGTTCTGTTCAACAGGCACATGGTGTTTCCAGGCAGCGGTTGAGGGATCATCCTCCAAAAGGGACGAACATCGATGAAAAACGCATATAGATTTTACAAACACAACACAACATTGCTTCTTTGATTTTTTTGACTTCATCTTCCCAGGTAACCAGGTAGGGATGTAAAATCACATCTGACGCAAAACAATGAAGACAATCATGAATCATGAGGTTCTTTTAATATCTATGAATGATGTTTCATGATTTCAGAGATTTCCGCAGATTTTGTTTTTTTAATCCATTTCGATCCCTTCCACCGACTATTAAACCACCCTCTAGAACCCATGGTGTTGTATTGGATTGGTTCATGCTAGGACCAGGATCCTATATGCATCCATGTGCGGGCTAGTAATAACAAAGGATAAAACGCCTCAGAAATCTCTGCTGCAATCCCGATTTCTGCGAATATTACGTCAACCCCGGATGAATACACCCTGACTATTCACTGGGGGGATTATCTACAAAATAATGGGAAACAATGTGAAAGTTGGCACCCACCCTTCGATTATCAATCAACACGGCGGTTGACGATCAACTTTGGCTTAAAATCACTATGATCCCAAAGAACGCAAACACCCTAGAAATCTCTGCACCACCGCTTTCTGCAGATATACCGAGCATCTGCAGTTCCGAACGGCGTGCATCGTCGAAGCCATGGCGAAGCAAATGCGCGCGCAGGGCGTCACCGTCGATGAGGCCGATGGCGCAAATGTTCTCCAAGACAGAGTCTGCATGCATGACCGCCTGGGAAACAAAAAAAGGTACTGTAGATCCAGGGTCTGATTTTTTTCAACCATTTAAGTAAGTAACATGTGAATTGTAAAAACATGTATATACAAATATGTTTATAGGTGTACGTATATGTATAGGTGTATATACGTATATGTATATGTGTACGTATGTATGTCCATATGTGTATATGAGTATGTAGGTAATTATGTATCTATCTATCAATCTAATTCCAATCCAAAGTAACTTAAACAAATCTAATCTATCTCTAGTATCTCTAGTATCATCTAGAATTAAATACCTATCCATCCATCCATCCATCCATCGATCTATCGATCCATCCAGGCACCTAGGGGATGCTACTTGGGGGTCTCCTAACAACAACTTTGGACGGGCCAAATTGCTAACCTCAAATGGCAAGACTCTATTGACTATCATCAATAACATATGGGATATCTATGGGATATCTATTTTTCACATTGGAACACCGCAAAATATCTCAAAAAGAATCTTCCACATCTTTTGAGCTTCTTGCAGGGAATGGAAAACACCAAAATATGAAACCCTCAGCATTCAATTTCTGATCGATATGCAAGTCACCTATAGAATCCCAGTTTCAGCGGTGTGTTTCGAATCATAATCTAGTTGGGGTTTCAACCCATTCCCAGACATGAAAGTCAAATTGCTTTGTCATCCCAATTAGAATTGAAAAGAAACAACTCGTTGATACCACCAACCAGTCGCCTAGAATGCGACTCAATTGGAGACCAACTCACATGTAGCCAGGTCTTCGCACCTACAGCTGGAGGTTATGGATGTTAAATTTTCATAAATTTTCCATGAGTCCCTGATAGTCCCTGGGCGCCGGAAGAGTTGTGCACCTCATGTTTGCTGAGCTTCTTGTGATGCCTGCAGTGCCGTGCGGCCGTGCTGGCACCGCCGCGTCTGAAAATGGTGTGGGGATATTCCCCAAATTGAAATTTTCATTGGGGGATATTGGGGGATAAGGATTTTAACCACTGGCTTTAGGTTTACATATTTCATCCTATTTCCAAAGAAACCCACATATGCCATGAAGTATTGTCAAATCAATATCAAAGCTCACGAAGTTAGTCCAGAGCCAAACAGTCAAACGAAGACATGCAAAAAACCCCACCCACATAACCATTGATTAAGACGTAAGTGCAAACTAACATTAACAATATTACTATGACATTCTCAATATGGGGTTGTCTGAAAATGGTCATGCCCCAATTATGTCATTTTTTTCCATGTGAGAATGGTGATAAAGCATTGGATTTTGGGGTACTCTATTTTCAGACAGGCCCATATTACTGTGATAGTCCCATGGTAACTAAAACATACTAAAACAACGTCCAGTTGCCATTGTTCAACGACACGATCTAAGGCCACGATCTGGGTGACGTAGCGCTCTTGCTTTTCCCTCATCGCCCTCATCTCAGGGTCCTCCTGCACGGTGAGGACAAAAGGGACACATCGGACTGATGGAAACCACCGAAAAGTGGACAACATTGGACAACATCAACTCCAAACAGGGGACGTAGTCTAACATATCCATATCCACTCACTGAGCCATGCATGTATGCATGTATGCATGTATACACAAGTCAAATCAAATCGGCATATTTAAAAATGTATGTGTATAAATGCAGGCACGAGACACACACACACACATGCACGTGATCGCACGTGTATATCTATCTATCTAGCTAGCTATCCTATCCTATCCTATCCTATCCTATCCTATCCTATCCATCCTATCTATCCTATCTATCCTATCTATCCTATCTATCCTATCTATCCTCTCCTACCTATCTATCCTATCTATCCTATCCATCCTATCTATCCTATCTATCCTATCCATCCCATCTATCCTATCCTATCTATCCTATTTATGCCATCTATGCGATCTATGCGATCTATGCTATCTATCCTATTTATCCTATCCATCCTATCCATCCTATCCATCTTATCCATCTTATCCATCTTATCGATCTATTCGATCGATTGATCGATCGATCGATCTATCTAGCTACCTACCTATCCCACCCATCCACCCATCCACCCATCCACCCACCCATCCACCCATCCACCCATCCACGCATCCACCCATCCACCCACCCACCCACCCACCCTCCCGCCCACCCACCCATCCATCCATCCATCCTATCCATCCTATTCATCCTATCTATCCTATGTATCCGATCTATCCTATCTAATTATCCTATCTATCCTATCCGATCTATCCGATCTATGCTATCCATCTTATGTATCTTATCGATCTTATCTTTCTTATCCAACTTATCTATCTGATTTATCTGATCTTTCTGATTTATCTGATCTACCAAATCTAGTTAATCTACCTAATCTACCTAATCTATCTAATCTAACTAATCTATCTAACCTACAGTAATCTATCTAATCTATTTATCTAATCTAATCTAATCTATTCTAATCTAACTAACCTAATCTAATCTATCTAATCTAATCTAATCTATCTAATCTAACCTAATCTATCTAATCTATCTAATCGATCTAATCTGTCTAATCGATCCAATCCATCTAATCTATCAAATCTATCAAATCTATATAATCAGTATATATCAATATATATTTCAGTCTATCTATCTATCCATCTATCCATCGATCCACCTATCCACCTATCAACCGATCCATCGATCCATCGATCCATCGATCCATCCATCCATCCATCCATCCATCTAATCTATCCATCTCTCTCGCTGTCTATATATATATATACACGTATATACATGCATTGTCTATATACACAATGCATGCTTACATGTACACAAATTTGTGGAATTTCCGGGTTCCAACTGATAAAATTTCCCAGCACACCCAGTTGGTACACTGATAGATTCTCTTTTCGTTCCAGTGCATGAACCAGCTGTAGGGATGCTGTGGGAACTCAACTATATGTATAGCAACCCCTAAGAAGATAGAAAAACAAACTCCTACTAAGTGCTAAATCACTTTCTATCTCTGTGGGGGTTATTTTGACTACCAAGTGAACATTTGGACCCTTTCACCCAGAAGAAACCCGGCAGAGTCCTCCCCAATGATCCAACTGAAATAGTCCCAAGTAGTTTTTGGCGACGGTTCCGGTTCCTGCAGGCAGCCGAAAAGGGAGCAACTGATACACATTGTTCACATGGTCACATGACATTCGCCATGACCCAACTCCCAGCAACTTTTGAGGTGAATCATCTGGGCAAGTTCTACGTTTAAATCCCAACAAAGTACACGCCCAGTTCCCAATGCTTCACCTTAATTACTCATCATCCCCACTGTGAGGTCGTGACCAAGATGTTCGCTTCGCATGCGCACAGCGCACCTCACCCTCTGCCTCCATTGAGTCGCTTCCAAACCAGCTAAGATAGCCGGATGAGGCATAAGATGATGGTGGTGAGTGGTGAGCATCCTCCTCTTCATCCTGGTACTGAGGATTGAGGGGGCTAGGATGGCTCAACCAGGACTTCCCCCGGACTTTGAAGGTTTTTGCGGGGGAGAGCTTACAAGACCACCCAAACCATGGTTTCTGGAGATTTCTGCTAAGATGAACCCAACAATCCAGCGCAAAGGGAGTTGGACGCCTATCAAACAATCATCAAACATTGCGCCTTCCGGGGCTATTGCTACGCCATTTTTAATACCCATCTGACACTGGGCGATAGCTGGAAGGGAATCAGGTTACTTAGAAGGCTTGAAGTTGAAGTATGAAGAGAACTGAGCGGCCCCAAATGTTGACACACAAAACAAAATAAAACAAGACAAGACAAAACAACATAACACAAAATTACTTTCTTCGAGTGATCCCCGCCAACTGATGTTCTATCTGACGCATATTCTGACATTATATCTGGCATTCTATCTGACATATATTCTGACATTCCATCTGGCATTCTATCTGACGTATATTCTGACATTCTATCTGGCCTTCTTTGTGGCATTCTATCTGACATCTTGCGCTAGCCGTTGAGGTCCAGCAGTGCCCACTGAGATCTGGAGCTCGCAGTTGAGATCCGAGGCTGCCAAAGGAGAAGGAGAAGGAGGAGGAGGAGGGAAACAACTCTGATAAAATCTAGAGACCCCCACCTGGCAGGTGGGGAAAAAACATAACATAACATGACGCTAAGCTCCGTTAGATTACGTTGCATTGCATTACATTACACACACAGAGATATATATATATATGCAACATATACGTATATATGTACAAAACAACAATGCACTTACTTTCTGGGCTGCCCAAAATCCGCAAGAAACATCTTGTTGTGATGAATCATTACGAGTACCACATATTAGGGTCACAATGCGATTAATAGGTTGAGTTTCACACACAGAAAGATCCCTGCACTGCAAGGCGACCTCCGAAACTTTCTACCGATTGTTCTTCTTTCTCAATCCTTTTACTCTCTGGCTTGATATTAATCAAACATGGCAACGGACAATTCCGTGTTTGTAGATGACTTTACCACGCAATTGCATATGATAATATTATATTATATAACCATATAATAGATGTATATATATGTAGGATTTCCCAGCTTGCCATGTTTGATTTCTTACCCTAAAAAAAGGCTGCAGTTTTCCGGTGATGCTGCCCTGCCTGTCTCATGTGTGATGTGCAACAGGATTACAGCTGAGGGCTTCGAACTGCTGAAATGTGCTGCAGTAAGCGCGACATCGGTTGACTCCGAACGATCATGTGCTGGTTACATACAGTAGTATAGCAACCAAAAAAAAAGATAGAACCGTTTTTCCAGCATGGCGCAAATGATATTTACGTTGTTTTTCGACTTTTCTATCTATTTGGGGGTTGCTATAAATGGATGGTTCACAACCGCCATGCAAACATGGGGCTATATACTAATCTCGCGTAATCTTAGCCACTTAACGCGAAAAATCGCGAAAACATGGAAAAGAATCAAACCCAATTTTTTTGAGATCCAAATTGCATGCAAACATGGCAAATCCCGAATCATTCGAATCCTGGAAACGAAGCAAACTAAAGCCCCGTAGACTCGACGCAGATGGCAAAAAGTCGCCTACTTTTTAAACCTGCAAATTCAGGCTTGCACCTCCTCGTTTCTCAGTGTTTGCCAGCTTCGGGGGCCAAACATCCAATCGTTTCTAATCATCATCAAGCCCACAAGTGCCACAAGTTTAAAGATTTCAAAACATCTCAAATGCTTAGTGGAAGCCATGCTTCTTTACCAAGACCGAGGTTTTCCTGCCAAAGCGAGGTCACCTCTGCCTGTGGATCTGCGGGGCCCGACAAGTTGGTCAAGGTCACTTCATCGAAGCACAGGGGATGGAAGGTCGGGTCCTGAAGGGCGCCGGTAGAAACGTGGAGCTGTTCCATGGGGGATACACCATGGGGATACACCATTGGTGGGGTTGAAATCCAAATTGCCTGAAATCGATCTGATCCCGTGTGACCTGTCTGTTGTGGATTTACAGTCCCCTTCTGCTAACTCAGCATGAAACCATGGTGCCTAGGACGCCCACCTAGCGGACCTAGCCCCCCTCCTTGCAGCAGCGTTCATAGGTGAAGCCCTGCCGCTGCCGTGCCTGTGAGAAGCAAAGGCTGTTGCCTGGCCACAGTGTCTTGGGTCACCCCTGGCCTGTTGATCATTGGGGTACCATTTTAGTAGCAAATGAACTCACTACTTGGGGAGTACCTTCAAACAATCAACCAGGTTTTTGTTCATCTCAGACTGACAATTCATTAAAGGAAGAACCTCATCCAATAGGGTGGGATCTGGGGACCACGTCACATCTAAAATCATGCAACATCAATTTAGGGTAGAAACGCCACTTGGGTTTGTGTGCAATTGGGGTAGCACCATTTCCAAAGGATTATCAACTGTTTTTTTCCCTGTTTTCCCATTTAAAGAGCAAGTTTGGAACCACGTTTTTGGACAAACCAACCAAAACCCATCCAATATCCAATCAGCAGCTGCTTTTGGTTATTCCCACCTTGCTACCAGCCTTGTTGAGTCTTCTGGCTCCTTTGGAGCCAGAAGACTCAGGGAAGCGCTTGCAGCATATGTGCAACATCGCAGCTGGTGGATTGGGATAAAGAACGACGCACCGTGAAAACTACCATGCATGCGGGTAGGCGGGTAGGGTTTGAAACATCGTTTTGTTATGTAATGGCAGGGGCAATTTGTCAGTGTTGCATGATTGCTCTCCGCACAAAACCATAAACCACAAACTCAAATCCCAACTCCAACTGCCATGACACATCCAGGGAACACACATCAGGATCCCCCCTGAGTGCATGATTAAAATGCTGGTTGGTGGTTTCAACTCGAACCAACCATAATTACAGAAGAGCTGTTCACGGGATCATGCTGAAAAAGGGCTGAACATCAAGAAAACTTTACGAAATGAATGGACAAAATGGTTGAACAACATTAATTAAAGGTCGCCCTGCAAAAAAGTGTCCTGTATTTGACCCATCTCTATTTTTGAAACAGCCGGCCAGAATTTCATTAGACCTCTTGGTCTCATTTGCGACATTCGGAGCAAAGAAAGCCCGCGTCAGTCTTGACAAATGCACCAGTGAGCTTCTGCTTGCCTTGGGCAGTTTTGAGGATTGGTATAATATGGTTCGCAAATCTGCAGCTGGACCTCTTGTAAATTGAAAATGTTTGTTTTCATGGTTTCCCTTGAGGCATACCCATCGCATTGTCGTTTCCAATCTGACCAGGAATTCAATTCCTTGGATTAGGCGTTGGCAAACCCGGGTGGAAAACACACACTTCCTGGAAACTACGAGCACCCACAAGAGGTAAAGTTGAAGAGGCAACCATCAGCTGATGCTGATGCACATTTATTTGTCATACCTTGAGGATGATTCACATACTTAATTCCAACCTTGTCTTTGATCAACAAATAATTACTTTACAAACATACATTCATTGGGCTGGTTTAAGGAAAGCCTGGCTTTTATATGTCTTATATAAGTATTTTCTAATGATTCTAATGTTTTCTACCTCCAAGCACAGGCATTTCCAGCCACATTTTAAGCCAAGACGCAGCTGCTGCAAACCAAGCAGTCAGGATGGAAGGTGTTCTCCGCCACCTGCGCCACAGTGCCGACCACGGGGGTACCACAGGCGGAACACTTGGGAGCGCTGGACCAGTAGCAGGCTTCGCCTCAGATTTTGGGTGAAAACGATGGGCGAATTTGATGGCGAAACCCGGCTTTTATAAACAAGATCCCTTTTCATTCGCCAAGGTTGTGGGAGACCTCATTAGATTAAATCCAGGAAAATAATCTTTACCTGGCTTTTTCTGGCAAGGGCAGGGTGGCTCCAGTGTGTTCAAATCACAGGTGCTTGCATGCTGGCCCAATCCCCCTTACTGTAGCCCGGCTTTTAATAGCTATCAACCTCGGAGAAATGAAATCAAACAGAACATCTCGTCTTTAGGCAAGTATTGGAGATCCCAACACCAAGCGGAAAATTACTAAAAGGGCGAATATGAAGATTCAAATTGATTAAATACTATTAAATACTACATGAAATATATGGTCCTTTCTTTTTCCAGGAAGCAGTTTAGGGGCATTTAGTGCGGAAATGTGAAGGCTATGATGATGCATTGACTATAAGTTGATTTGGGGCAGGTAGCATTTTTGGACAAGTGAAACTGGGCAAAGTACAATGATCCCCAACAAAATAAGAAACACGCACACACACACAATATATATGTATATATATATATATAAATATAATATATATATAATATACACAATATATATATAATATATAATATATATATATATATATACACGGTAACTACATGTAAATATACGGATTTTTAAATATACAAACTGGTATTTTTGACTACCTCCAGGAAGGTTTTCCTTGGCCCTCCCGGCTAATTGAACATATGGAATCCAATTTATTTAACTATACATTTAATTATACGGATGGAACTGGTGTTTCACACTACCTCCGGTGCCTTGGAGTCTGGCCTGCCCTCCATATATTGAAATGTCGTTGCCGTGTATATATATATATATATTATGTGTAAAAATAATCGAGCCTTGTGGTGATTCCCCTACCTTACGAAGCATCAAGTATGGTTAGCTTATGTTAGCTTATTGTGAGGTCGATTCAGTTTACCCAGAACCTGGCATTAGAAAATGCCTGGCACTGGTAGCCATCATCTATAGATGCGATATTCTTGCTCAAAAACAGAGACATTCCATTTCCATCCATCTCCGTGTTTGACTACCAAAAGGTAGATTCGCCGGTGTGGGTACTTGGAACCCTTCTTGCATCTGGCAGCGGCCAATCATTATCCGTTGAAGATCAACAGGACATGGTAACGCTCGTCCCGTGAGCCCATGGAGATCCCACAATGACATGGTGGAAAGTCCCAACATCAACATGGATCCTCTAGGGGCAGAGGGGAGCAATGATTCGGGGCGCCAAAGGCCTAGAATTGCGCACATGTCATTTGATTCCCACTCCGCATTTCTTTTGATGCCTTTTGTTGCGCTCAGGCTCCACAGATCAGAACGAAACCAGTCCAAACCTTGCCCCTGCTTTTGTCATCTTGCGATGCCTAGGGACACAGCGTCTTGCCATCCGGGCTTTCGTAAACTTGTTGCCCAGCCTGCCAAAATCTGGAGCTTGATGAGCCATAGACCCACACATTATTTAGGTTGTAAATGGTTGTTTTTCGACCTGGGGGTGGGTTGAAATTCTATGATATTTCTAAATATTTCCTCAAAACACATGCTGGTTGGTGGTTTCAACCTGAAAAATATTAAAGTCAGTTGGGATGATGACATTCCCAATATATGGAAAGTCATAAATGGTGTGAAACCACCAGCCACACATGTGTTTGCCCCATGATTTGCTGGTCAAATCCACCCTTCATAGCCGTTCCAGGCCTTGAAGCCGCGCTGGCAGCCGCTGCAGTGCCCCAAGTCGCCTTGCGACACCTCCGGGGGGTTGATGCCACGGCCCTGCACACACGCGCACAGAGAGAGAGAGAGAGATATATATATATGATGATATATATATATATTTAAATGAATATGTGATCTAAATTTCTAAATGTTATATATATATATTGTTTTCTTATATTCATCGGAATTTTTTTGACACCATGATTTTGTAATCAACAATGTGTTATGTGTAATTAATAATTATATGTCTTTCTGTCTACCTACCTACCTACCTATCTACCTACCACCTGTCTACCTATCTATTTATATATAATTTTTGTATAACTTTACAGCACAAGTTTCCCATGATTTTACTTTTGCACATGGACGTCACGTGGTGGTGGTGCTGGTGGCAGTGGTGGTGCAGTGTCGTGGTGTTTTTTTTTTGTGTGTGGAGGTGTGGAGGCGTGGAGGAAGAGGAGGAAGAGGTGAGGAGGTAGTGTTGGTGTTGGCGGTGATGATTTTGTGTTTGTGACTTCAACAAACCAAGAGAATGCCCGTGGTCAGGTGATTGCATGTGCATTCTTATATCTGAAGATCCAGGTGACTTGACACAGGCCCCTAGTATTTAACACACAAGGTTTTGATTTTGACACAGTCCCCTTCTGTGTTGAACGCGCTTGTTTTCTCCAAATGGCCCAATAGATCACAACAGATCACAAGGCTTCTCTGTGGATATTTTGGGGTAACCTCGAAGTTGGTACACCCATCATCACCCATTTTTACATATCATCTACATTGTGTGGGCATCCCTGTTTTCCAAGACTTAGTTTGAGGGAAGTTGCAAGAAATGAGGATATTTGGACGGCACAACTTGATGTACAATATAATTATACAATTATATATAGATATATATGTATGATGTATATATATATATATATGATATATATGTATATTTCTCAGGAATCGCCGCAGAAAGAGGTTGGTTTGGGAGGCGGTATGCACCAAAATTTGGCATTGGAAAAGCGTCGGAGTTTCCAATCCTTCGGATTCCTTTGGAATTGGGGGTGCCTTTGTTTTTCCAACAAACCCTACCCTCTGGTAATTTAACATAGCTATGGAAAATCACCATTTTTAATGGACAAATCCACTATAAATGGCCATTTTCAATAGCTATGTTAGTTTACCAGAGGCTAATTGGTGATGCCAACCCAGGTGAAACTTTTGCGCCTTCAATCCACCAATGATCAGCGCCGCGCCGGTTTCATCCCCTTCTGCCAGGAGGGAGCGGAGTTCCTGCGGCCGCGCCGACTTTTTGGCTGAGTTCAAAGGGATCATCATAATCAGGGCATGGTCATAATCAGGGCATAATCAGGGCATAATCAGTCCAAAGGATCATCATCATAATCCAAGAATGAAAGATGTTGTCATCACCAGCCCCAGCTAATAATATCTAATAATTACCAGCCATAGCACCAGCCAAATGGTACCTGTCACTTCCCAGTGGGTGCGGCCGCCATCCCAGCCTGGATCTCTCGCTCGATGTCTTGGGAGCAGCTGCCACAGACCAAGCCGCAGTCCATCTTGGTGAGTTGTCCATCGATGGGCTTCCGACACTGCGTGCCTTGGCGACGAAGCTGGAACTCCCGAATCTACGGCGTTTGACGTAAAATGTCTTTGACGTGAAGGCGGAGTCCCACCTACCTAGATTCAATACAACACTATAGGTTCTTGGCGCAATTGAATGTCATCATATGTCATCTTCTTATAGTTTTAAAAGTTACTCGGGGGATGGGATTTACAAATTGTTTTCCAACTTGTGACTCAGTCCTGCTGGGCCAAGCCGCACTTCAGGCAGTTTTGATGGTAGATGTCCTCCCCAACTTTCGCCTCGCTGCTCGCTTTTTCACAGGAGCCGGTTTGCGAAGACCCCACTGCTGTCGATGGCTAGTTTAGGGCTGAATTGATGTAGGGAAACTACAGGAATCAAATCCTAATATCCCATGTTTTTTTACAAAGAACCCGGCAAGGTGAGAAACTGCAACCGGCAAATACATGCGGAACATTGCGGAACCACGATTGGATTCATCGGACATTTGTGGTCCATACTCCCGTTTGATGTTGGTTGTTATTCATGCCGTACGATTTTGCATTAAAGAGTTTTGAGAGCACCCTTCTGACTACAAAAATCAGCCGGTGGATAATACCAACCGTTCTCATTCCCACGCTTCACTCCATAAACCAAAAAGAGAAGAAGTGCCATCTGTATCCATCTGGAGGATTTTGTTTCTATGCTTGCACGATGCACACCCAACAATGAGTCCTGCGGTGTTGTGCCTTATTGTCAATCTTCTGGTAAATATAAAACTATAAAAAAAATATAACCCCCCCTCGCGCCAGAGCGTACTTGCAGCAAGCTGCACTCCACATGTGGCTATTTGCTTCAGAAAAAAGTGTGCATATATAATATATTATATATGTATTTAAATGATATATGTATGTATATAGATATGGTGGCTGGGCAAAATGTCTTTTCCCAGAAGTGTGCAAAAATCGTAAATAGCTGGGGGGCCGCTACATAACTTTACTTCTGCGTGATGTATCTTGCTATGTCTTCTAAATCACAGGGAATCAAAGGGAGGAGATTCATTGTTGCATTTCGTTGAGAACGTCGCTAGCGCGCAGCACTTTCAACCACTCTCGGATGAGGAGGATGGCTTGCTACTGTCTGACTCGTGTGCCATGTCCTGCAGTGATCGCCAAGCCAAATGTACAAGTGAACTACTTCTGTTAAAACCAAAAAATGCAAGCGCACTGCCGCCAACGCGAACCTAGCACCAAGCTGCAGAAATGCCATGTTTAGTTGGGTGCCCGCTACATAATGAAGACTAAAAACCTATTGTCTAGAATTACTTTCGCAACTTGATTTACTTTTCCTTACTAGGGATTTTTGACCGGATCCCATATAGTGACCTGCCAAAAAATAGAACAGTAAAAACTACTAAACTGGTGATACTTGAATTTTCAGGGGCTGCTAAACCAACATTCGATGATTTTCCAACATCTGTGAGCCCTTCCAAGCCACAGCCATCCTGCTTGAAAGTCCCAGTCGCCATGGTTCCTGAGATCTCCTCACCACAAGCTACGCAATGGGGAGCCTGCTTGCTCCAACAGGCACCTTGGTGGAAGCCATCTGGAGGATGAGATCTCTCAAGTTCTTCGTGCTTTCTATCTATCAACCTGTATATATATCATTTACATATTGATATCCATCTCTCTCTATCTGTATGTGCATCTATATATATATATATGATATATATGATTAATTATATGCCTACCTGCCTACCTACTTGCCCATCTACATACCTATTTATCTGTGAATCTAGCTATCTACCTACCTACTAGTACCAATCTATCTAGCTACCTACATATCTATCTATATATGTACTTATCTATCTAAGTATCAATCTATCAATCTATCAGTACCTTGGCGAAACTGCACGTTGCTGATGGGACTCCAATTATGTTTTTCTTAAGTGGCCCCGAATGGTAAAACTTGCGTAATTTAATTGTATGTCTATGGTTGGTTCTTTGGTTCGAAGCATTTGCATTAGGTGCCTGTTGCAAGCAGGACAGAAAAAGAATTTGTTGCAACTTGGCACTTCCAAACGCTGTCTTGACTCGGAGATTTGCTGTGGACATGCCAGTCTACTATATTGCATTGTCGGTTCTACCAAGTATCCACATTTACCATCTTTTACCTGCCATTTGCGTTTTTTTTTCCCAACCAAGCAACCGCAAAGAATCTGCTTCTCACCAGTCAATGAGCTTTCATAGATGTTCTGACCTGCCTGGAGATTCACAGCACCGACTTGGATAACATTTTTCCCATGCGAGAGGCATAGGCTTTTGCTGAACTGATTATTTTTCCAATGACAAAAATGATCAAACATCTAGGAGTTTTGGAGTTCCCAAACAACTAAAATACACACATATAAATTTATACCTGTGTGTGTATAAATAAATGAAAAAAGAAAATAAAACAAATTATATATATATATATACATACATATTAGAATCACTTCTGCCTTGAGCCTGGCATCCTGATATCATCTGGGGCTCCCAAACGGGGTCAAACAGTCAATCCTCCCGCCTCAAAGGCTTTGCCGCAGGAGGTGCAGCTTTCCTCAGACACAGACGTGGGTCTGATGGCAAAGCAATGTCATGAACTACCATGGATTGATGGTTTATATCATTTTATATCATCCATTTATGGTTTACTATTGCTTTACTAACATTAACATAAAGTGTTCTCTGGCAATTTAACATTGTCATGGAAAATTGTATAATAGTATAAATTTGCCAATTTATGGAGGATTTACATTGATTTACCAATGAAGAATGATGATTTCCAATGATTTCCATAGCTACTTTAAATTGCTAGAGGGTAACATGGCCATAAACTGGAGATATGCTGCATTTAAAGAAGATAAATGCCATGAAGACACAGTTATTGGCTATTACCTTACAGCGCTATGGAAATCCATGGGCTTCCCTATAGGAAATGATCTACACATGGTGGATTTTCCATATCTTAGTTTAGGGTTTAGGGTGGATGATGGATGTTCATCATTGTTCATCCCAATAGACAGTGTCATGATATGTCATGATTCCACCATATTCCACCCATCTGCATCTCTCATCTCTCTCGGTTCATCTCTCAGTTCAGCTCAGTTCCCTCTCCTGCCAAGTGGCTGACGTTTTGGCCACTGCAGGCTGCTGTGTTTCTGCTCGGGTCGGATTTAGCGACGGATCTGCCGAGACAGGGCTGGGTGCATCCAGGCCTTTCAGCAAAGCGTCCAGGTCGTCCTGGTGCAACTGATTTGATGATTTGAGTCAAGGATAAAATGATGGCAAAATGATGGTAAAGTCTCTGGGAATGTTAACGTGGAGACTTTGAAAAACCAGGTCGAAGGGAAGCTGACACCTTGGCATTTGTCGTCCAAAACACAGGGAAAAACGACGAAGAATGATGGTATTCTACTTCCAGATTGGCCACCCAAGGATGTAGAAGTTTGTAGAACCAATATGAGACCTATGAGATGGCGAAAGTGAATCAGCGCTTCTTTCCAAACAAACATGCCAAGAATGGAGCCCCACTCATTGGATGTTCTCAGGGTGTAGCCAAATTTAATTAGTTTGCAATTTGGATCTTCTAAGCGTCAACTCTGAATCATGGTTTCCACATGTTTCCACAAGGCATTCACAAAAGAACACGTGAACCCGGTAAAAACCAACCTGGTTGATTTCTCAAAGAGTTCTGAAAGGGCACCCCCTCCGAAAAAGCAAAATACTGTGCTACTAAAATGCTGGGAGAACCACCCCAATTCCAAAGCCAAAAAAAAATATGAATCCGGAGTGGGTATTATTAATCATTGAAGCATTCTTAAATATAATTGTTTCTAACATTCATGATATTCATGTGTATATATATATGTTATATTCACTAACAGCATTAATCAACAAAGATCAGCCACAAAATTCACCATAGATCCCCTGCCACTCCAACTTCCAGGCACCTCCGTCTCTGTCTCCATGGCCCAGCCGCGACTGCCTACCGCAGGCGCCGCTGCCGGCACGGCCGGGCGCTCGGCACGTGGGAGATGCTCCACCTTTTTGGATTTTTTGGGGGAATCCCAAAAAAAAGGGAAAAACATGTTGGCATTTTTTGGGGATTCCCTGGCATTTTTTGGGAACAAATCTGCATTTTGGATGATTTTAGACAGATTTTTTACCACCTGTCAGGTGAGGGTCTAAAGAGACTTTTTGTTCCGTCAGGTTCCGAGGATCGCGCCGCCTCTCATACCGGTATGTGCAAGCGCACAAAGGTGCGCCACAAGCTGTATGATTGATAACATTGGTATAAGCACGGGGCAGAAGACTGTACACATCAGAAGATTCTGTCAGAGAAACTGCCAGAATATATGTCATATGTCAAAGAAATTTGTCTGAACATATGTCAGAAGATGTCAGGGTGTATGTGGGATAGATGTCAGGAAATATGTTGTAATATGTGTCCCAAAATATGGCGGCATGGCGGGGACCACACTAAGTAAAAGTAATGGGCAGTTGGATGGGTTTATATCTTAAAATTATTTCTGCAAAATTTCTGCCAGAATTTTCGAGCAGCTAGCACAGAGATGAAATCTTATGTATAGATATATACATATATAAATACATATGCATACATACATATATACATATCATACATATCATACAATATGGATGTAAACTATGTTCAACGTGATGATTCAACCACCAAGACTTTGGCAAACGAAATATCATGGGGTAAACATCAGCAAGACCGGGACCTGGCCCGAAGAATATAGGGTAAAATCGACATGGGGGTTCAGCCAGCAACAACATGTGGTATTTAGCCATCGGAAACGGACCTCTTGCACCCCTCCAAAAAAACATCGGAAAGCAAAATCAAATGGGCAAAACAAACATCAGGTGCTGGCTGCAAATTGGGGCTCTTTTTGATGGTGGTTCCCTAGGTCCCTTGGATAAAGGACCACTTTTTGGAAAACAAGATTCGATGCCAAGAAACCAAGGGCTCGTTCAAAGCACTTGGCACGCCAGGCAAATCCTTGGCATTGAGTTCAGCTCGCGAAGATTTCTCGTGGCGGTCATCTGCCTGGCCGTAGGTCAACCAGGAAGGGACATGGCCCTGATGCCTTTGGTAATAGAAGCCGCAAAAATGAAACGAATCCATGCTTGGAGGAACATCAACCTTAAGTGGTTAGTAACCCTGGTTAGTAAGTTAAGTCCCCTAATTAAGCGGGTTATCCAACATTATCAGATATTAACAATATATTAACTACGTATGGTTACTAACCAGTTACGAAGTGGCATGGTCCTCCAAGTAGGGGGCCCAATACCAACAATGTGGTGATCCTGGCGGTGGCATCGTGGCTTGGGATAGCCCAGAAAGTTATGGTGTAGACGGTGTAGACAAGACGTTTCCCTTCGGCTCAGAGCCGCTTTAACATCGTAAACCATCATGAATTACTAACTACGGATAAATCCTGATTTCGGGACAATTCCAGAACACATTCTTTCTCAATTATACACCCACCATATCTCCTTAAAATGGTTGGCTGTCCCATCTTTCTTGGTAAAACCCAACATCTTTTGTTCACAAAATTCAGATGATGGGAATTCCCCCCAAAATCATGAAACATCAGCTTCAAGATCTGCATGAAACCCTATTAAAGCCCCCAAATTGATCCCAAATTGTCAGTCTTCAGGTATAAAAACACACCAGTCATCGTTCCCACCAGTTCCCCATTCAGCACCTTGAGGCCCAGGTCAACCAGCTGCCGAGAAGAGGATCTGGTGCGTCCCTCCGGGAGTTTGCCAGTGCTCTTCGTCAACTCAGACAGCGCCGGCGCGCTGGGCGCCGCTGCGCGGGGATCTCCTGGGAGGCCATGAAGAATGCACCATGCTTTGAACATGCATCATGTATCATCATGTGATATGTAAATATATGTAATAGGTACAGTATATATTTTGATATATGTTTTAACAATTATATATATATAATGTATATATATAAACATATATATATACACATATACATGACATGACATAACTATACACAACTCCATGCACTCAGGTAGTCTTAGGTACTTGTCCCTGTCGCCGCTGTACAATGCCATGTTTTTTCCCAGCCGTACCTTGCGCCGGCCGGTCCGGACGGGCTTATTGCATACACGGCTCGTCCCAACACAATGCCCAGAGAAAAACATGACCACCTGGAAGACTGTCTATGTCTATCTTCAGACACGTTGGTCATCTGATGTCATCTGTTACCAGAGTGTATCATGTGTATCATCTGTTACTGGATCAAAGTGTTGTGCACCATGGATGTCCCACTGCCATGCACATCACTGTCCTGCAAGGCTTTTGGGGCCGGAAAGGACTGTGGCGCCCGTGGATTTCAAGACGGATCCAGCTGGTCGTTTTCGCTCCATGGCACCATGATCAACTCATATCTTCGCAGCTTGGTGGCTGCAGTGCAGAAGAGTTTTGTTCTCAGCAACGAACTGCAAATATCACATATCTACATGCTAAAACTCATTAACAATTCAGTGAGTGTCCAAATATATCGGATATAATCCGCAATCTATTTTCTCAATTTGTCGTGAGTGGCACTCCCCTCGAATGGACATGACTCATGGCAAGATTGGCAAGGGCATACCAAAAACACTTGAAAATCAGCAGAAAGAACATCAGAGAAATCAGCCAGTAGACAGGAAACATTACTAAACATCACCAAACTGCAAATGCCTGACCTTAGCCTGGCCACTTACCTCTGAATCATCTTCTGCACATGAACTTGTGACCAATTCTGGCAATTCTGGCCGATTCATAATTCATCAATTTCATAAATCTCAGGTAAGTCATTTTGAAAACGGCCCCACTTCCTCTAAACACGTCATTCATCATGACTGAGCCTCATCAACCCCAACAATAGGGGCGAACATTGAGCCCCCAGCAATACCTATGTCTTGGGGAGGTTTTCAATTCACATCCCCATCCAATGGAGAGTGAATACATATGTTTTTTTTTGGCAACAACCAATTTCCGCTCATCATCACCCTTTTGGATGGCCTCGTTCTTATTGAGGGATATTGGCACAGGAGGGTCACCATGATCATTATTGGAGCACCCCAATCACCATCATTGGATATCAGTCTGGGCTGGGGGTTAAACTTGCCCAAAAAAAACGGGGGAGATCCATTCAACTCCCAATCCAATGGATGAACATATCAATGAAAATCTAGGAACATATCTAGGAAAATCTAGGAACATATCTAGGACACATCCAACATATTCCAACATCATCCAATATCCGACATTTTCAGGTTGTCAACATGTCCGGATGTCAGTCATCCCCCCTTTGGCCAGAGCCTTGTTGGCTCTCCGCAACGCCATGGAGCCATTGGATCAGGCTGCGTTGAGCCGCGCCCAAGGATCCCAAGGCTGGGGCCTGAGGTGTATGAAGTGTATGGAACCTTGGGATGAAGAAATGTACCACCTTTCCGTGTCAGCCTTCTGAATTTGATTAGATTTTCAAGGATAATCATGGATAACTGACTCCAGGATGAATCTAGGAAGGCTAACCTTTGTAGGGTCGCAGAATATGTGAAGATGGGTATGTCATGCAGTTGGAGAAACGTGCTCAATTTTTGCAGTCAGTTTTGTCAGTTTTAGCGAACACAACCCTTTGGACACGGCCCTTAATCATATCTTCTTTCAAAAATGACACCTACATGTGGACCCACCAAAATGTACGAGAAATCGGTACAAAATCAAGGTTTCGGAGGGGGTTGTTCGAGGGGAGGGGGTTGCGATTTTATTCGAAGAATTTCATGCGATGTTTAACTTTTGGAAATTGGAAATATATAGAAATGCGATCAAATACTTGGAAAATTTAACATCTTATTATGTGAAAAATGTTACTGGATTTTATGCTGATATGATGTAAAACCTGATCCAACCCACGAAGCCCAATGCACATCGCGTATAAATAAAAAAAGCGCTTTTGCGAAACAAGTTAATTAAGCTATTACAGTCTTGCAAATTCTTCCCAGCCATTGTAAACTGTGGAGTGTGGAGTGGGGGGGAATGCAAAGCGTGGAATATGTGAAATTAAGAGTGTAAGAGTGTAGAGTGTAAACAGCGGAGTGTAGAGTGTTGAGTGGGGAGTGTAGAGGATCAATCTCGAGCGAACGCCCTCCCGACCGTGCCTTTCCAGTGCCTGGCAGCGTTCAGCTCCACCCCATTGGAGGTTTCAAATATCCCTTTCTACTGGTGGATGGAAGGGATTCCCATCATTTTAGACTATGTTGACAATTATTGAAATATTGAAAGATGAAACAATTTCCCTGCAAACAAACTGAAGTAGCCAAACCAGCCAGTTGGAACTTGGATGAAAAGGACTCGAGCGCCTGACCTTTCTCGCAGCGTCGTGCAGTCAGTTCTATTGCTGTGCGCGCCAGCTCGCGGAAAGCAAAGTATTTTGATAGCCGCGTCACGCATTTGCGCGGCGGATTGTGCTGGATTTTGCCCTGGGATTCTAGACCTAGACTGGACCTAGACTGTTCAACTCTCAACACACAAATAAAAGATGCGCATAATATGATCATACATTGACATGTATATATATATAATTATATGCATAAACACACACACACATATATATATATATATATTATACATATCTACCGGCATTTATTTACAGGTATGATTATTATTATTATTATTACATTATTATTATTGTTATTATTATTTATTATTATTATTACTATTATTATTATTATACATATATATATATATTAGCTGTAATATATATGTATGTTTGTCTGAATATTATATCGTAACTAACTTGCGAATATGAATAGATCGATTATATGATTGATATGTACATAGTTACATAGCTGACATAGCTCCAGAGCTGCAAATTTGATCTATTTTCCATTTCACCCAGGGGTAAAACATGGTAAAAGCTACGGGTCCTCATGACCCCCCGCAACGGAGCTCTCAGAAGTGGAGATCCAATCCTCTCGCCTACCTCAGGTCGCACCGTCATGACAAATTGTGGGACCGTTTCGGGATGGTTTCCAACACCCATTGATGGTGATTTGGGGGATGGTTTATGATGCTTTAATTGTGATGGTTTATGGCATTGGGTTTGCCACATTAGCATATTTCAACACTTTTGTTGGGTTTTTGTCAATCATACACAGTAGAGGTTTGCCAGTCTATCATAGTTACATAGTTTATCGTTGGATTTACAACGGAGTTACTATGTGATTACGGCTGAGATGTGGGACACCTATCGCGGTCTTTGCCAAGGGGCTGTTCTGCAGATTTGGCGCTGAAGCATCCGAACAACGAGGCGAAAAAACCTGCACCTCGGGGTCAGGTGGGGTAAATCAAGCTTCCGTGAAGCTTGGTCCAAAACAGGCAAAACAGGGATCATATGACATTACATGATATGCTCCAAAAAAAGGTACAACATGGTATAACCATCTGTTTCTTGACTTCAGGGCCGGTGATTCATGCTTCGCGAAACACCTTAATAATCAGTGATGTTCTGTTCGTCCCTTTTGTCATATTTCACAATAGTCCGGGCACCAACGGTTGATGGCACAAACCTTCGTTCATCCAGGTTCTCAGCCACCATGGCCCATTGATAGATGATTTGCCTGTAGTATCGACAACTGTGATTTTCCATAGCTATATGAATTAATGTTGGCTACTGATTAGTGTAGCCCCCCCTCAACAATTTTAGGCTACTCCATAACTCACCATTTTCTTGGGAACCAGTCCTGGGGGATTCAGGATGATCAACTTAAGTAAGGATTTCAATTGACATCAATCTACTTTCAATTGATTTTCCTTTTATCTTTTAAACCTCAAAGAAATCTATTGATAAGAAAGGATTTCAATTGAAACCAATTCACTTTCAATTCATGTGAATCTACTGTCAATTGATTTTCCTTTTGCATCCAACAAAAAAGCCCAAAAAGTTTCTGTGCACAATAGGGTGCCATCCAAACAATTACATTATTGAGGATCTGGGTCACTCATGGGGTACAGTACCCCCTTGAAAAATTGTTTGGGCGCTGTTTTTTAATAAGGCATCTAATTATCTGGGAAACCTTGCATTTTCAAGGCTTTAATATGGATATGGCTTTCTAAAGTAAATGGACCAGCTTTACCCAACGAAATAAAGGTGGATGAAGCTCCTCCTGAAAAAAAACAGATCTGAGAAACAACTTTCCACAATAGAGGCCCACCTCCCCATCCACAAGATACTCAATACTTTTGGAAACAAATTCCACAATAGAGGCCCATCACACTTTTTTTGTGGCCAACATGATGTTAAATCACCAGAGGGTCCCAGAGGGTATTTCAATTTATGTTCATGATTACCCCTATTATGGACGATAATTTATGGACGCTTAAATCACCATTATGTTTCAATTCTGTTCATGGGCGATCTGCTTGCCCTTAAAAGCCTGGGCTGCCGTACGAGGTTTCGAACCCGAACCTTGGCCCGTCTTACTCCTGGACACCTGCCGGGCGAACAATGGGTGACTTGTAGAAGATGTACGGGAAACCAAATGAAACCAGGTCTGAGACCAAGTGAAACCAGTGTTTTGTTTACTTCAAATTAACAGGAAACCCAGGGTTTTTGACTATCTAACCCCTTGCCATGGAAAATGGCTGCGTGTAATATTATTCAAGAACCACGGGGAAGTTGATACGGCGATGTTAAACTACCAGAGGATTCGACATCCTATATGGAAAAAAAACCATCAGTGATATCACCATTGTATTTTTATTGTATATCATTATATCATGATCAAACATGACATAGCAATGCAAACCGAGCAGTTCTTTGACCAAACAAACATCCTTGGCACAGTTGCTGATACAAACTGTGCCAAATATCTTGAGAACCGGTCGGCACCTCGGCAGAGGGGGGGTAACCCATTTTGAGCACCCGGGATGGCGATAACACCCCCACTCAATCCCACTCAGCAGGAAAACGGGACATTCTATAACCTTGGGTAATCCATGGGTAATCCATGGGTAACCCCTTGAAGACTCGCCCAACAACTGTTGCAAGATACTCTTAGGATATGTTGGTGGTATTTCCATCCTAAATCTATGTCAGAAATGGTTTCGATCATCAACACATCATAAAAAATCATGAGCATTCACCATTTTTCACAATTGCTCCATATTTTTCCATATTCTTCACTCAGAAATGAGGACTTCACCATTTTTCACCCGGAAAAGCGATGAAAAGCTGCTCACCTCACTGATCTTCTCACTGCGGAAGCGTTGGTCCGTGGCCGCCGCGGCCGCAGTGGAGCGCATGGAGTCGGCGTGCCTGGCGAGGTGGATTTCGCCAGCCAACAGGGGGAATGGGGAGGATAAAACATGATAAACCCCAAAAAAAAACAACAGTTTCAATGAATTTAATGATATTCTACAATTTTTATAATGATATTAGATGGGACTTAATTGGAACATATGAACATTTTATGATTTTTATGGGAACATCATGGGATATAGGATTCAACCAACCCAAGCGATTTCGGCACCCACAACCTGGTGATACCTGGTGCTTCATGAATCCTGGGTGAAGCCTCCAGGATTATGATGAATTATGAGGGGTTCACTGCGGTTCACTACTTAAATATGGGTTGGGGGCCGAACATGATTTATGATCTTTATGGTATTTTTATAATGGCGAGATGATTTGATATACCAAAACTATGAATTGGGTTTGTCTGAGCATGGGGAATTCGGAATACCGATACGAGAAAATGACGAACAACGATAAGATTTGGGGGCTTATTTCAGGCAAATCGGTAAATTGCTATATGATATGCATATGATGCTACATAGCCACCAGCAGCATTTCTCATTAGCCCTCAAAGCCACGAATCCGTCAAGCGATGGTTCAATCGCTACCCGCCTGGAACGTGTCTCTTTGGCACTTCCTGCGGCAAGGCTTAAAATTTGAGTGGAATGCAATGCTCAACAGGCAGCCTGCAGATTGAACACTTTTAAAGCCTCAAGATCTCCGGTGATCTTGCGATTTTGAGATATTTTTGGGGTAGCAATTGGTACTGTACCTTCGGGGTGCAGTAAGCTGCCCTACAAGATGGGCCGGGTCCTTGCCATCGCACTGGGGAGCCGCCTTCCTTAGCAAACGAACATCTTGGGTGACAAAAGTGAGGGCAAAGGACCCAGAGAAGTGGAAAACCAATGAAATCCCAGGTATTTTGATAAAATCCATCCGGGAACCTCCTTACACTTGGAGAGCAACTGAAAATACGAATCACTGAGACTCACTGAGACGTGAGATTGCCAGTTCCGTGCCTAGACAAAGGTGGCATCCTGGGGAAACAGTCCCATCCCTTCATGTCACCAATGATATCATATGCGAAAAAGCAAGTGCTTTCGGGTCACCAGGGGCATTGTATTCGTGCTTTACTGATCTTTATTTGGCATCAGTTTCTCTGCGGCGAGTTATGAACCGACACGAAAAATGGTGACTTCTCACTTCCTCCCTGTTTCGTGCATAGCTTCCTCATCAACCAGCGGAACATGATATCTATATAAGTTTTAAGACACTTGCAACAGTCCAATGTTTCCAGACCGGTGCCAAGCAACTCCGTCTGTCTCCTCTGGACTCCGTCGATGTTCTCGCTTGCTACCTGGGAGTTGCTGTCAGCCGAGCATCTATGTTTGAGACAGAACAACATCAAACATGACCGTTACTTGATACTTCTCTACTTTTTTTACTAGGAAAAAATAATCAATGACTATGGGTCAAGCCATTGATGGAGCCTGATGCAGCAACATCTGTGATTTTACGGGTCTTAAGCATTCGACACCATATGCGTCACAATTAAACATGACGACTCCCAAGAAATACAGTGATTAATGTCTTGATTGAACATGTTCGTTTTTCACACGTCCATGCTTTCCATGGTTAAGATAGAGTAGCCCAACGATTGACCTAACTTTTCCATATATTTTTCCAACATGGTCATTGATCGCAAACAGTCCCCAGGGCGCAGGAAATTCAGCTCCGGACCCATTTCTCTCACTCGTTCTTTTTCCTCCTTGACTTCAATCACCTGGAGAGAACACCAGGCCGAGGAAATCGAATGTAGAGTGGCAGCATGACGCTATGGCTATGACCCCGTTCTAAGAGAGGGAGAAATGTAGATGAGGGTTTATATATATATATACGTAGACATATAGATATCAAAACAAACAAATAGATAGAAAAATGTAGAAACAAAAAAATACAGATAGTTTCGCTTCAAATGCCACCGTTGGCTTCTGACCAAACCGGGTTGTGGCAAACTTCATGGCAACCGGCAGCAGCAAGGTACCCATCACAAGGCACCCATCAGCAAGGCAACCAGGTTTTTGGGACCGAACATCTTTACCCCTACCATCCTACAGCAATATACCACTCCTATACTCCACCCAGCTACACCTATAAATGATTGTCCATGATTGTCTCCTACATGTTCCTGTTAATCCTGTTCCATCATTTTCCCATGGGTTTTCCTATGGTTTTCCTTCATGAAAACCTAGGGATCTCCACCAGGGGGGCCGGTGCCCACCTGTTTCTGCAACTCAGCGTTGGCGGTGGGCTCAGTTGCTGAGGCTTGTGACCAGTCGAAGATGCCGTCGTTCTCGTAGCCTGACGTGGCTTGGTGGATCTTTTTGCTGATAAACATATTCAAAACTAGTGATTTACACTGATTTACACTGATTTAAAATGATTTAACATGTTTTACAATGATTCACAATGATTTACACTGATTCAAAACGTTTTACCATGTTTTGCACCGATTTGCAATGATGTAAAATAGTGATTTACAATGATTTACGATGATTTCAGCCATGAAAAATGGCCACTCAACTGGACTGAACCATCAAAGAAGATCATAATTTAAGTAGATTGAGTCATCAAACATGGTGATTTCATTGCAACAATTGAGGGGTAGATGCTGATCAAATGTTACATGAACTCGTACTTTCATTTCTTTTTCTATTTTCCCGTTTGTGACTTCCAAACAAAGCATTAAAACAAGCAATTATATACAGAAACCCAGGCCCAGGTGTGGGACACGCCTTCCTTTGAGAAGAGCTCTTTGAAGAGACGTCGCAGATAGGCATAGTCTGGGCGATCTTCAAACCTCAAGGCCTCAGAATGGCAACAAATGGATGGGGGAATTTTACCACCTAAAATTGGGTTTTATAGCCAACCAGTTTTATGATGGATGTTAAAACACACACACACACGCATATATATATATACATATATATATATGTATAAATATATATGTCATATATGTATACAATGGGATATATAAACAAAAACTATGATGCTTGGGTTTGCCTGAAATAGGTCGTATCAAACACCAATAGCTGGCAATTTCCCGTAATTTTCCAAAGCAACACAAATTGTCATCCATCAATGTTTTTGGGTAGCCTATTCTTCAACCCCGCTCGAATGGATAGGATGGGCATAGGCCGCGGTCCCCGAAGTGCTACAGTTGCACCTAGCAGCCTAGCATACTTTGGTGGAGGTTTTCGATCGTGACAACCCATTGTATCGGGGGGAGCCTTCATGCGACAAATCAGTTTGTTAACTCTTCCGCAAACCCTGGTCATGTCGCCCTCCATCCCTGCAAGTGGCTTTCGCGTAGTTCATGTATGGAATGAAGATCGACGGACAGCCTCAGTGTCCATGTCCAAGTGCAACAAGGAGGGCAAACCATGGCAAACTTGGTAGGTGAATAGTCATGGACACAAAAATGCCGCATACAACTCCACCATGTCAGGTGGCAAACCTAATAAGTATCAATGATTATCAATAAAGATCAATAAACAGTTACCATTAATTTTCAATAAGATCATTAAATATCAATAGACATCAATAAATCATATAAAAACATGTGCCCACACGGCATGGTTGAAAAATGTTGAAAACCCACAGCGCAAACAGCACCAAGTGACCTTTGCACAAGGTCTCCACCGAGGTGGATTGCTTACACTCCATGATCTTGTGATACCTCAGTCCCGAGGCCCCCACAACACCATAGCCAACCCTATGCCAAAACCTATGCCGAAACCCATGCTTTTGACAAACTTATGACTATATATGCTATATAATACTATATATAATCCCTTCCTCCTATTACTAAACCCCGCCCAAATACTAAAAACTTGTGTCCATCTCCAATTTTGGAAAATTTCAGATTGGCCAATTTGACTTTTAATTGATCCCCTTTAGAAAACAATTTAAAATTAAAGCTACCATCTGTGGGTTTTCCCCCCCAATACTAAAAACTAGTTCGCCCCGGGGTGTTTATTTTTTTGGGGTCCGTCCGATTTTTTTTTAGTTTTTTGTATTAAGGTTTTTAATTTAGTATTAGGGGGAAGCTTCGACATCCAATTTTTGGCAATATTTTAATTGCGTTATATAAAGAAATTAATTGATTTTGAGATCGGAAAAAATAGTCATTATTATTATTATTATTAAGGTTTTTAATTTAATATTACGGGGAAGCTTCGAAATCCAATTTTTGGCAATATTTTAATTGCGTTATATAAAGACATTTAATTGATTTTGAGATCGGAAAAATAGTTTTTATTATTAAGGGTTTAATTTTATTAATAGGGTTCCCTAATAATAAATACCCCCCTAATACTAAAAACTACCTGCCGTGTTTATTATTAGGAGGGGACGTTTAGTATTGGGAGGAAGGGATTAGCGTGAATCTTCAGGATTTCAATTAGGCGTGTACAAGATTTTCGGTTCTGCATGTGATTTTCTGTGACATCTGCCTGCGATGCATGATTTTCATGGATTTCCGGGCAATTTGGGACACCCTTGATGGCACACCCCATGGATATGCAAGCTACTTCTGGAGTATCATGAGCCCTCCACGGTCTGAACCTGTCTAATTGACTAATTACGTTGATGGAACCCGAATCACCCAAAGACCCTGGAAAAGCACATAATTAGTCAATCCAACCGCCATTAAATATACTAAATGTCATTAGAACAAGTCATACCTTCCAAACTCCGAGCAGTATTGAATATTGATAGTCTGATAGACCATGTCTGCCCAACGTTTGCTGGTTGCCTAGTTGACTCAAAGGACCCCTTCCAATATGGTTTGGTCTGAAAATAGGGCACCCGAACAAGTCTCCCATGTTGGGACAAACTCAGGTGTAAAATCACTGGTTGTACATCCAAAGATATCCAAAGTATTCACTGGTTTTGTACCTTCCCATGATGTTTATCATGTTTATCCACTACACCCCGTCTATACTATCATATCAAATCATTAACATCTCTAACATATCATGGGAAACATATCATACTGCTTGCTTGCAAATCCCCTGAAATATCATGACATATTCCCATGAGATCTTCATGCTGGCTGTCATCCCATTCTTTGCAAGGCACTTCTCCTCCTTGGTCGCGGCCTGGAAGCCTTGCCATGGCAACTGTCCTCTACTGAAGTAGATCAGCACATAGCCTCAGCGTCCCCAAAAAAGATGCAGAAAAGCAGTAAATCCTACGAACATGATGGTAAATTGCTCTTCTATATATTTTTTGGGAGTTGCTATAAGTTGTTTTCCATACATATATAAATTAAATAATATATATATATATACCTGCTGTCATCATTATCAATAAATATCAATACATATACTGGGGATGTGCCAACTATGGTTCTATTTGGGGGTTGATGGTGCTGATCTTATGAGGAAAAAAAGGGAACCATCCCCAAATATCCCGAAATTGCATGTGTTATCGTTATTTGATAGCGATTTAATGGGAGGTATCACCAACAATGTGTATAAGCCATAGCGGCAGTCAGTGGTTCATAATCCACACACACATATAAATATATATTTTTAAAGTACCATATGTGTATATATATATACATGTGCATCTGCATATACATATAATTACATTACGCATATATATAATATTATATATATATGTTGATATACAGATTAGATATAACCGGAGATATCCCAAACTGATGCTATTCCGGGTGAAATCTTTTGTCATGGAGGACCCCAAGTTCATCCAAATTCGTCATGAAATTCAGGGGAAATCTAATGATAGGGGTTACATTCCTCCCTATCAAAGGAGCATCATGTGGCCTCAAGACGAACCCATGCGGATTTCAAATGAACGTAATCAGAGAATACGGTCAACAGAATTCACTATGTATCAGAATGCCATGAATGCTATTGAATGCTCATCCGAACAAAAGAAGTGAAGGAGAGTAACCCAAGCTGCGGCCCACACTTGTGGGTGGTGATTACCTGAGGTCATTAATTCATATACGAGAAAAAACAACGGTGCAAAAGAAAAGTGCCTGACATTCTTACAGCAACCTCCATGATCATCATCCATCACTATCCTTATATCTATCCCTCAACATCCATCAGGTCCCCTGACCTGGGAAAGCAACTCTAACCCAACCATACCTAATCATGATTAACCTGAAAGAGTCGCCGTCTTGGGCATGGTTCCCCCCTATTTTACATCGATCTACCTATGATCTACCTATGAGTTTCATGGCTCGGCCACCTGCTGTCAGGGGGCCTATCGCTTCAATGTCATCCCGTCGGCTTTGTTCGATGCCACGGTGCGCATTCACCTCGCGTTCCAAGCTGATCATAGTGTTAGTGCAAGGCCACTACTACTGGATATCAATCATCGAATCATATCCATAAGATTCCATAAGTGGTTTAGGGCAATGTTCATCCGTTCCAACCTGACCTCAAGATCGAACTTCCGACATCTTCCGACTCTCCAAAATAGAAACTGATGGCAACTCAAAAGAACTTGAGCCAGCCACTGAAGCATAACGTGCCGTGCCGGTCATGCTCTTGTTGTCCTGGCTGCGTGCAGTTTGCCCGCTAGCTGTGGGATCTGAAAAATCCGAGGGCACCTGGGGTAGTCATGGCAAGTGACCGCAGAAATTCCTGCTACCCAAAGCCGTCAAAATTCTCTTTGACTTTTGTGACTCTTGACCTCCAAAGCAGTTGGTAGCAGTTGTTCTATAAACAAAGCCAGAAAGAAAAGAAATCAGTGGATGAGGGGACCTTCCCGGTATCAACATCCCCAGGAGCCCAGATGCCTTGTAGGGAATGTGGTTGCATTTGGAATCCCTGGCCAGGCAGATCCGTCAATATATGGGTGGGTTTCCAGCAGATTTCCCAATTCTGGGACCATTTAGTTGAAACACATTCAAAAATATCGGAGAAAATATGTCAAACGAATTCAAACGATGAAACATAGCCAAACGGTGCAGGAACGGTGGGAATACACGTATCGGATCGTATCGGCGTGTGTGAGCTTTTGGGCCCCATGGGCCTCCCAGGGGCATATGGATGCGGGTTTACCCCCAAAGCTCGCATGGCCCTTGGATCACCCTGCCATGATCCCGAGAGGTAAGGATTGGTTTTCCTATGTTTTCCTGCTGCAGTATCCATATCCAATAGCTTGTACAATACACCATCAACAAATTGGTCCAGTGAACTTGACCATCCCGTGCCTATACTTCTTGGCGAGGCCAAAATCAATGAGGTACAAAATGTGCGACTTTTTGCTGCCGCCAATCAAGAAGTTGTCGGGCTTGATATCCCGATGGATGAAGTCTTTGGAATGCAAATACTCGATCCTGAGTTGACACACAAAGGCACCTCCAATGCCAATTCAGTTGCCTTTCAACACTTCGGTCAGTCTCCCAAGCTGCTAAAGCAACACATGCACCCTATCAACGCCAAACGTAGCTACCCTTCATTTTTTTGGCTGGTTAGGTTCCAATACTCCAATGAAAATGGCAAAAGTCGAAGTTGTGCTGAAGCAACCAGTGACCATCCAAAATCTACCCAGCTAATCTGGAACACAACCCATGGTGATAACCTCCACAAGTTGGGATACAACTACGGTATTCCATGGTTATATACTGTCGTATGTATGTATGTATGTATGTATGTATGTATGTATGTATGTATACACAGAAATATCACAATACAATAATATAAGCATATATATAATATTATATCCGTCTACTATTATGATTATTCTATTCTATTCTATCTGCAACATTACTTCAAACATCTCTGGTTGGTGGTTGAGCCACCCCTCTGAAAAATATCAAAGTCAAATGGGAGTATCATTCCCAATATATGGAAAGTCATAAAAGTCATGTTTCAAACCACCAATCAGTTATATATCTATATGTTCACAACTGGGGTTAATATTCACATATTCCAGTTGTAACTTATATGCCATTTATCTCTGGTTACAAATGGTTAACATCTTATAACTACAACCTGTGACCCGCACCCCCTGTGGGCCCCAAGGGGCCTGTGGAAGCCATGCGATCCCAGGGACCTGTAGAGCATCTGATCCGCCAGCATCAGCAGAGTCCGTAGGCTGAACCTTCGGGACGGGGCCACGATGGGCCACGTTTTCACAGGGAAAACACCCCCCAAAACCACGTTTTTCGTGGGGGAAAATGGGGAAAATCTATGGAAAATGACACTCTCACCCAAGTCACCCAACAAACAAAGTTGGGGGAGATCTATGCAGTGGGACAAGCTGGGACATGCTGGGACAATCCGACCTATGTAGGGAGGAAACTCGCGATGATTATTCACCAGTTACTAGGCGGGATGAATGCGCACAAAAATGGAACCAGCATCAATTTACAAATGAGGTCACAACATTTTAATCCCAAACAACTCCTTGCTTCCAACACCATAACCGCCCTTAAAAAATACCATGGGTAGAGGCCCATTTTTCAATGCACCGAAGCCTTCGCCGACAGATGTTGAACAAATCCTCCAAAGAAGGACCCAGCAGATCCATCACCATGATGTTGAAGTCACCTGTGAACAGACATGGGTCATTAAATGTCCCCATTGAACATCACCCAACCATTAGGTATATGGTCTATAATGGCTACTATAAGGTGATGTCCAATATACTCAGAAATCACATGAAATCACTTTTCATCCTCAAACTGTTGCTGTTGATGAACTTGCTGGACAGGAGGCCCCAGCCTTGTGAATCTGAAAAATAAACCTCAGTGGCAGCGCCACGGCGACGAAAATGCCATGAAACGAGTTGGTTTTGGAAGGACCTCATCTGGGCTGTGGGTCAAAAATGTGCTCCAATACCCAAGATTGGTGGAGAATACTAATTTACATCTAAATATGTATGTACTAAGCGCATTATACCAATATCCGAAATAGAATATAGTCTATATGTCTATAATGTATAATCATGATATATGCACACACACACACGCACATATATGCAATTACAATGGTTCTATGATGCAACTCTCCAGAACATCCTGGCCAAGCGACGGATGCAAAACCTGGAGCGCCCTCCAAGTGTTTCAACAACTTGGCCTGGCACAGGGCAGGGCATCGCCGTGCCAAAGAATAAGGGCTTGAAAGGACGAACTGGAGATGAAATGGAGATGACATGATTATGACAATGATAAGACAACTGCGACAATGTACTATGATGCAGAATGATGCATTACTATTTTGATGTCTTTTGGAGAGTTTTGGAGATGAAACACAATGGACACGTCATTTGCCATCAGTGGAAGCTGGCCGGTGGCCTCCGATGATGATGAAGGGATCAAAGTGAGAGCCATACGGATCTAATATGATATAATATGATCATATAATTATATGATCATATATGATCTAATTCATTCCCATCCCCTACTGGTAATCCTATGACAACCCAACCAGAACCAGGATGAATCTGTGAGTTTCTGCCATTGCTTCCAGCATCTCCGCAATCTGCGTCTAAGCTTGGACATGTCCCTGCCTCATACAAGAGCATGGGGTGCTTGCTGTCCACGCGTTCCAACTTCACAGCCAATTCCTTCCCCGTCCTTGCTGTCAGGGCTTTTCATGGAGCAGCTGCAAATGCCTGGTGTTTTACCTCTGCCATCCCTCTGTCCATCCCTTTTTCCATGAGATGGTGTGACACTCTCATTTGCCGTCTATTTCTACGTGTTGCCTTTTCTCCTTTTTCCCTGTATGTTTCAATTCATTACTTTATTTTCCTGGTGTCTGCTCTCACTTCCCCTTTTATCTTCACACTGACTCAGCAGTATGATGACGTCGCTTCTCCATGCCCACCAAAGGCTCCTCTATCCCCTGCAAACCCCGCCGAATCCCAATGCCATCCACATATTTTTTTCGTGAGATTACCTACTTAGTCCCTTAAACCAACTTGAATCCCAATCATTCCCACATTTGTTAATCAACATCATCCTGGTTGTCACATCTGTTCAGCCTCTCCGCTGCTGGAATCCCTAAAAATAGCGAAACCGCCGATGACATCGGGATCCCACATGGTCCCGCCATACCAAGGGGATCCATTGGGATCCGGGCTGGGAATCGACCGCATAGTAAATCTCACCAAAAGATCCACTACCGAGCTTACGGCCCAGGCAGTAGATGTTGCCTACCTCGGTGTGGGGAGGACAAGATGAGCTGAGCCAAAGCAAACAGCGGCAAACAATCGCTTAAAATGAATGAGAGAATGATCGGAGGTTGCATGCACAATCATGCACACTCGGATTTTGAGTTTTGAGGTTGACTTTTGATTTTCTTTGTTTGTTCTCACATTCTGATCCGCGATTTTTTGGGCTGAAGGACTCAATTATGGGAGAACACCTGGAGGCTTCAAGCTGAAAGGGAAAGTTTGAGACCGACCCTTGTGGGCGCTTGTGGGCCTTTTCATCCCACGATCGACCCGTTTGGCAAAAGTCAAGAGATGTCAAGAGGCTTTGCCCAGCCGTTGCATCACGGAATCTTGCTGCTGACCTTGGTCCATGCCGTGGCAAGAAGCAGCTAACACCATCTGAATCTGACACGGTCCGGAAAATCAGCGCTGGTATTCGCAAAGTCGGCACTCCTTTTTTTACTCAAAGTGCGCAATCACAGACCGAATTGCGGCTTCATGGCATTCTTCGCAGACGCCCTCCTTAGAGAATGGTGTGTGGTGCTTCGCTGCTAAGCTCTAATCAGAGTGAAGTATTGGATGCTTGGAGAGATGACAATCATGACGATGCTGCTGCTGCATCCAAGTCTCACAGACCCCGTCCTGTAGATTCCACACGAACAAGCGACCATCATAGGTCCCACTGACCGCACGTTTGGCCGTAAAGTCGCTGGCCAAAGTGCACACTGACAGACCTCGCCAACCTCAAACAACGAACTCGCCATGGCCAGGACTCTTTGGTATTTTGAAGCATCCCTACCAAGGCTCTAAGCTAGTGGTATGATACTGTATGATGATTACATTACACCATTCATGACTCATTCATGAGATGCATCACATATACCTACAGAATCTAAACGTTGTATTATTTAATATCTGCATACCAAATACATGTATATATACACAATATATTCGAAATTCCTAGAATATGTTCAGAAACACAATAGCTCAACGTAACATGGCACAACTCACACGTGGGTGTTTCTTAAAATGGGGGATCCGCAAGTCACCCTATAGGTTTCAACACTTAGTCATGGCCATCGACTTGGATGATGCAAAGGGGTAACATCATGACTTAGAGAAACCCTCCATATTAATATAAGCATCGTATAGTGTGTTAACCATAGATATTAATCAAATATAAATCACACTAACCATAGTTATAGTTATAATTGCCATTATCAACCGCATCAACCAAGTTAACCATACCATCATATTAACCATATTAACCATATCAAGCATATTAACCATATCAATCACATCAACCATATTAACCACCATTAACCACTATACAACCACTATATCATGATCCACCAAAAGCGCTCCACCACGCTCCGCGTCGGGCAGCTTTGCAGCGGCTCATCCCCCCGTAAATCCCAGAGCTCCAGGGATCCATCGAAGCTGCCGCTGAGAGCGGCGAAGGATTGGTGGAAGGAGCGGTCCATGGACCACACCTGCCATCGGATGGCCATCGGATGGCCATATCCCCCACCAATTTTCGCCCCAGAGGGGAAAATGATGGAGGTGATTTGACCAAAGAAACCTAGATCCAACTTGGTATAACTTGATATAAGTTGATTGATTTAATTTGATTCAAACATCAAAAGATATGTGATTGAAGCACGATTCTGCCATAGTTAGGGCAAATAACTGGCAAATCACACGAAATCCGTCTTGAATTTGATACTTGCCCTTTTGCGGGATCAGTTTAGAGCAGTAGAGGGTACACAGCAAATGGCCATGGAAAATGAATTCAAAGCAGTGCTTTTCAGTTTCAAATAATTTTTCAGCTGTCACATTGCGTTTACCAACGGATATTGAAAGAGTCAGGGTCCTCTAATGTTCCATCTCCCCGTTTCAAACAAGGAGTTTGAGAACATGATGCACCATCAATATCTACAATTCCCTTGTCTGAAATCAGCAATTCCTGGGGATCGCCCCTCATGAATCTCAAAACATACCATTCATATCCATTCATTTTCATGGTGAGGCATGTGAGGCTGGCCATTTTTCGCCCAGAAACTGATGGGACATTGAAGCCCTGCACAAGGTAGGTGCAAACCTCAGCAGAGTTGGGACCCCATGGGTCCTCGGAACGCCTTCACTTGGCACAAGGAGTCCACAGGTGCCACAGGTCAGACTTGTTGCAATCAAGGGGCCATTCTGGAAATGTCCCATATACCTGAGCTGTGGCTGACCAGGCATCCCTGGTATACAAAGAGTGTCCAAAGTCGGAGCAAACCATTTCCAAGGAGCCATCTCCACCTTACCAACCCATGGCATGTCCATAACTGCACTCTCTTCACAGCGAGGCCATTGATAATCAATTGCTGAGTGAGCAATTTCAACTTTGGAACCATTTAACATAATTTAACTCGATTACGCATCCCTGTCAGACGTCCGACATGGAACTCAAAGCAAACAGCTATGTCCGCAGGTATCTTGCTGGTTACCCTAGGGCAAGCTAACATACGCAAACCCATGGTTTTCCTGAGAAGTCCCCAGGGGAAAATGATTGGGTTGTCCATGTTGGTTTACCCCAGGGCGGTGCAAATTGTCATCGCCAGGTTACAATAAATGCCATCATCAGAGCCACTGGCCGCCTTGCTGTGCTGGAAATCGGCTTGCACCACCTGTGCATCGCCCTTTTTCCATCTGGATGATGTTTGGGCCATCTTTGGATCAAGGCATGGAAAATTCATGGCTAACTTGTGGATGATTTATGATGATTTATGGGAATTTTTTGGATACTTCCTAATAAATCCACCAATCCCAAGTCCGGTTTTCCACCCCATGACCAAAAACATGGTTCCCGATATTGTACTAAACCACCAGCATTCCCAAGATTCACCATATTTCATCCAACATATATCCAAATATTTTAATTTGCTTCCCAAATTTCCCCAACAAATGGTTTAGTAACAAAATTTGGGAATAAATCGGAATAAACCACCCAAACTTTCCTAATATTGACTAAGCAATGACTAAGCCATCAAACAAATGATAAGATCTGATAAGTTTAGGTGGTTTAGTTGGCCAGGTTGACCAGCTTTGATCTCCTCCACCGCTCACGGGGATGAAACCTGTTGAACCGAAGTTGATTTCGGTTGATGCACTACCTGTTCCAACATCTAAAAAGAATCTAGAATCTAAACTTTACTAGCTCTTAAACATTTACTACCTTTTCAAACGTTCTATATTAAACATTATTAAACTATCGGATGGCGCCTTAAACAAACCACAAAAAAAAATCTGGGCGGATGCCGTGCCTGCACCAGTCCCTGGTGTCGACCTTCCAAGATGTGAGGCATCGCATCGTGCCCCTGCAGGTTTTGGCCGAGGAACATCATCTGCCAAGATTGGATTTTCCCATCGATTCACCATTTTCTTCACTGTGCCAAATCATTTTCCATGTTTCGCCATTTAATGTGCCATTCACCAAGATTTGATTCACCATGATTTGCCTGTGCCATTTGATTTTCCATGTTTTTTTTGCCTGTGCCACTGTGCCATTTAATGCATGTTATCAAACGATATCTCAAATGTTTAGTAGCTGAGCCACCCACAACGAATACATTTGTTGAATGAGTCAGTAAGGGAGGAACAAAAACATGCATCATGTAAAACAATGCGGAACGGTTTTAGTACTTCCATATGCTCTAGTTTGGTTTGCTCATTTGATTCTTGCTATCCCATGATCATGCTATGGCCAAATTGCAAGACGGTCTTTCGGGTCTACATTGGCATGCATTTGCAGCCGTGCATGTGCAATTACGCGAATCATATTTCATACCTCAACATACACATGTAAACATAAACCACATTCATAGAGAGATATTACACATTATTAGACCCATGCACATAAAATGCATGCTCGTGAAGATAAATTTTTCCAGTCTCCATTTTGAACATCAGAGACACCTTTTGCCACTTTGCCCGGCCTCCTGAAAGTTCCAAACTTGTACAGAACCACCTTCATGGCCACTCACCTCACAGCGGAGTTCAACATGGACTATCTGCCCTAACGTCTACGTCTGGCTTACGTTGGAAGGTTTAATGTCAGGTCTAAGGGCAACAGGGTCCTGGAGGATTGCATGTGTGCAACTCCTTGGAGGATGTTGATCAGTTTGGTCACAGTAACTGCAAATGTGGATGGAAAGTAGGCAACAAGCGAAACCGCCAGCTGATTATTGATGGTGTACCCCACACAATATCCATCATCTATTCTGAATGCTTAGTGGTCATGCCACCATCTTCTCCCATTGTTGCCTATTTTGCCCGGTTGGCGGCTAAACTTGCCCTGCAAGCAAGCTCTTAGCCAGCCGAACATCATATCATTGTTTTGTATGTTTCTCTATGTATGGCTAAACACGGCCCTGGAATCAAACATGTCATGGCCATGGAAAATCACAGAATGTGAGTTGATTCATCTGTTGAAAGTCTGCAGCGCTACGCCTACCAAACGACAGTTGACCATTCACCATTTGCCCAATCAATGTGCCTAGAAAAAAGACAACGTAGGGGGCATCGTGGGGCCAAATGATGATAATTCCCAGGACTCAAAGCTTGAACATATTGGAATGGATCCCGCATATGAAACCTCTTTTAAAAGGGACTTCGGTCGGCCAGTGGAGTTCGCACATTTTCCACATGGTTTAACAAATCATTTTCTCCAAGAAATTGCTGCCAAGAACATGATCTCCCCAAGTGATTTTCAGAAGTTATCACTATTTAAAATTGGCTAACTGGGTGGATCTGGCTGTGGTTTTCACCCCATTAAATTGGATCTTCATCCCATTTCTATAGCTCGTCCATTCTGGGGGGACGGTCCCTGATCCCGGATCCAAGCGACTTCTTCAGCAAATGGGATGATTCCCCCTCCCACTAACCCATGATTTCTCCCAAGTTATTCCATTTGGTATCCCTATTCTAATCCCATCCCCTCATAACACCCCATGGATGGGACATGATGGAACTATCAATTATTAGCCACGATGACTCATGGATTGGGGGGTGGGATGGGGTGGGATTATACCGTATCATCAATGATCCAATTCTTAATCAGACTTGAACTCACCACTAGTTTCCTACCATTATTGCTGGATATCAATTGATATTATCCACCAATTCATGGGATACACTATTGATTAACCATGACGAACCACTATTCATGGAATATGAATGGCACTTCACCACAATTAATGAGATCTTGATCTTAGTCATTCTTCACCCCTCCCAGCGCTGCCATGCTGCTGCGGCTTGGTCTTCGCAGCTGGCGCTGATGGACCAGGCCGTGCCGTGGCGGCAGCGCAAGCTCAGCAGCTCGCTGCGTTGGTTGAATGACCTGGGGCTGCTGGGGAGGGGAAAATCCCAAATTTTTGCACACTTTTCCGGGGAACAAACAGTTTCATAATGTATTTCTGGTAGATGACTTAGCCGAATTCTAGGGTTTATACATGTTTATACTGGAAGATCATGGGGAAATCTATGATTTAGATTATAAACTAACTTCGAACTGGGAGGGGGCCCTTCCTGTGCTGGCAGCAACAAATAGGGGTGAGCTCATTGGTTTTCCAACAAGTACAATCAATCAATATGATAAATCACCAAGAAAAGAGGCTTGAGGGGCGGCTTCAAACCACGGTTTATATTAAAAACCAAACAAAACAAAACAAAACACACATGGAGATACATAGAGTGGTAGGCAAAGATAATACGAATAGGTGAGCTGATTTTTATATTATCTATTGTGCATCGAATATCTACAAGAAACATGGTTTTTACCAGCGAACTATGTATATAGGGTTCCTGCAATTCTTTTCCCCTAAACCAGCTTTTGGGATAGTAGATCCAGGCAAGCAGTAGAAACTTCACATGGCTGATCCTGGACGATGCGAGAAAGTCTAGAAGTCCAGTGCAACGAAATGATAGACAGGAAAAGGGTTAAACACGAGGCCATCCTGAACTTGTGATCGCAGGAAGCAAACACAAGGAGATATAGTAGCAAACTTAGTAGCAAACACGGGGATAGAACCAACACAACTTGAGATTAAAGTAGCTTTGGAATAGATCGAATGCAAAATTGGACCATTCCACATGGGGCAAGCACAATTCAAAACCTCAAACAAATGATGAAGCTTTAGCAGGACGTAAAGCTGCAAACGCATCACGCCCGAGTTTGTTTGACCTTAGTTCTGGTACCTGGCAGCGAGGATTTTCAGGCGAACGTGTATCATCCACCTCAGCACCACTCCGTTCAGGCTCTTTGTTGAGGGCAAAGATGCCCAACCAAGCCGCTTTTGCAAAGGAGCAAGGTTTTGAATTTCAGGGAAATCATTCTGAAAAAAGGTTTTGCGTTCTTCCTCAAAAGCAGGGCATATCCAAGTGACATGTTCCAAGGTGGCAGGTGTAGCTTTGCTGCACCAAAAGCACCCCTCAACCTCCTGCTTTTTCATTTTGGCTAGAGCCGCTGGACTGACCGTTGAACCGCTCAGCACCATGAAATGCTGTTTGGTTTCATTGGCCTGCCTGCGCGCCCAAGCAGTAATATCAGGATTGTACGGACATGTGGGTTTGTCACGGCGTTTGCTGTTTTGAAACTTTTGCCACAAAAAAAATTCTCCAAGCTTCTCTCAAATTATGCTGCACGATTTCAACTTGGGGAAGTTTGAACCTGCAAGGCTCAGTGTCACCTTAGTGTGGTGCAAAAAATTCCACGGGCCAGTAACTTGCCAACCGATTTATTTCATCAAACGTTGCAAGTTTGCCGCCCATGGTGTATGCCACTGTTTGTCAGTGAGCATTTGCTTTTGGGCTCGTCTGTGAATAGTTCCCAACATTCCATGTAAAATTCAGAAACGAACATGCAAATTGTGTCCTCGAAGAATGTGCCTCAGTTCAGGGCTGGCACAATGAGACTCTTGCAGTGTTTTTGAAATCATAGTTTGTAATTTGTTTGTTTTGGCCATGGTGGTGGTACGAAAAAACCATCCAAAAGCAGCCAAACCCGGCACCTTGGTGGAAATCAATAATTTTTTCCAGGCCCAAGATACCGGCAAAAGTGAAATTTTCCTCAGTAAATTCACATCCCAAGAGTCGAGGATGTTCCTGCAGCACAAATGCCTCCTGGAGCTTTTTGCACCCCTTGGCAGTGGAGTGCCAATGCACACTTTTGTCGGGGTTTTCTTTGAGGCCCAACGCCTCTGACCATTTACACCACTGATCCTTAAATTGCAAAATAGTGGCAATCGGGCCGCAGAAAGCCCTGTCATCGCAATAAGTCCTGTGCACAACATCCGGGAATTGACCTCGGAGTGCGACTGTTGCAGGTGTCAAGGTGGCAATCATGGCCATCATGGAAAACGCATCCCCTTGTGGTAAAGACCGCCGGACGATGCATGTTGGGTCCATGCACTGTTCCAGGTACATGTACCTTTGCTGCTGAAACCACACGTTCGTCAGCATGTTACAAATCTCAGCGGGAAGCCCCAGTTGCGACATGATTTTAATGGCTAGAAAGTCGGGTGGACATTGTCAAAAGCCTGCTGGAAGTCCAAACTGATCAAATAGGCGTCCGTGTCCAAAGAAGTTAACACATCATATAGATCGCTACCTTTTTTCCCAGCAACGGCCTCTTTGGGGATCCAACCCTGCATCCACTGACGAGCCGCCTTTTCATTCGGCTAGAAGCCCAAAGTCTGTACCAAATTGACAGAATGACCACTTGCCTGTAATCCTTAGGGTTTTCACTGAAACATTTCTTCGGGATATGGATTTGTTTGCACTTTGTCCATTCGGAAGGAATTAAAGAAGATTTTTCATACAACGTAAAATGCTTTTGGAGCTCCTCAATAACAGTCTGTGGTAAAAAGGCGGCCTCTGATCCGTGCCATCCATCCAAACCTGCAGCTTTGCCCTGGCACTTGGACAGGACCGCTTGAATTTCCTCAGTTGCCAGTTCCGTATATACCCAAGGTTTTCCGGGCTGCAAGTGTGGCTGACACTGGGCGAAAGATCCCTCCCAGTTAGTGTCTCGATTCCATACCTTTGTCCAAAAATCCTTGAGGACCTTCAGGCTGTCGGGAGCATTTGTGGCTCCGCCAATGTTCAAATTGGTCCCCGCCTTGGTGTTTCCAAGCCACTTGTAGCAATCTTGATCACTGTGTCGCATTCGGTGTTTCCACTTGGCCAACCGTGCATTATTGAGTTCAAGACGTGTTTGTTCCAAATTGCTCATCACCGCTTGATATTGCATTTCAAGACATTCGCGGGAAACGTTGACATAACCAAGTTTCTTTTCCAAATCTTTGTATTTGTTTGAGAAAGTCAAATTCCATTTATGCAACCGAATCATTTCAGCCAATCGGTAAGCTTGTCGCTGCATTTTTCGCTCCTGGAAGGAAAAATCGGGGGCAGCAATAGTACCCTTGGAAATATTCGTAGAAATAATGCGGGGGCAGTCTTTCCGTGTCAAATCAGGATTGAGCATCCATTTATTGCGTGGCAAGTGCACCTCCGTTTCAGGGGTAAAATGACATCGAGCTTGGCAAAGCGATTTTTCAAGTTTTTGAGAGAAAGCCGCCCAAGATTCGTCCACCTTGGTTTGATCCTGAAGTGGTCCCTGCGGGCAAGTCAAGGGGGAACTCATAGCCCAAAAATGAGCCACTGCTTCTTGCCAGGCATCCTTGGTCACCCCTTCTGGAGGCGTCAGTCTCCGCGCATGTTCCAGCGTGTGATAAACTTGATTTTGTTTTGACTGAAATGGGACCTGGAAAGACAAAACTTTATGGTCACCAATGATCCGATCCATGAACCGAGGCTCCAGATCCACATATTTTAGGTTGGTAATGCCAAATCAATTTCCCTGCGACCCAACCAGCGGGTAGGTAGCAGGCGACTGCATGTGTCTTTGACTGCGAGTAGTTGGGCACCTTCTTCGACCAAAATCTGGGACATACAACATTCATCAGGGACCTGGTTCCAGTCCCCCATGATGATCCAAGGCTTCTGTCCAAGGCTTTCTTGAAGCCACAAGAGGATCTCCTGAGAAGTGTCTGGTGCCGAACCTGAAACTGCCACATAGTTGGATACGAAATTGACCCCCTCCACGTTGACCGCAACGGCTTGGCAGTCATGTTCAAACCATGTTTTCAGAAATTTCGCATGTAAAAGTTTTTGTACAAGGACGGCTCTGCCCCTCCCTGGCCTAGGATTAGCATCACCCAACTGATAATGCAATCTAAACCCGCTTTTGTTGGCAAAAAATCGGAAAGACTGAATTTCTTTTGGGGACATGGAGATTTCCTGCAAAGGCCTACATGAATGCGCTCCTCCTGCATCAATTGAAGTGCATGCCATGCGCCTGGTGCGCCCTGCGTGTTCAACGAAATACATTTGAGCATGTCTGGGCCCGGGTTGGGTTCGATTCCTTCTTCAATCAAGTCACGGACCCAACTGTGTTTGAGCGGTTTACTATCGACAGTTTTCAAATCTTTTATGATAGCCCAAGCTCTCCTCACCCGCTGTTTGGCCTGAGCGAGTTTCTTGACCTGATGACACGTAAGCTTTTCATCCCTTGGTCTGCTCCCTCCGCCATAGCCAGCTAATTTGGCCATGCATCCAACGCACCAAAATTGGGTGGGATTTCTGTGGAAAGAAGCTTTGGGGCATTGGCAATACACTTCAACCAGGTCATGACTAGGCCATAGCTTTTTGCGAAGTTTATCAGCCTTGGTCCGACTCTGTCTGGCCACCTTTGGTTTCTTGACCCCACGGGCCCAAACCTTGACCATGGCAGATTTCCAATCCTTAGTGTTGATCTCAGGGTGTTCTTCCCTTCGATGTCGAGATATCGCCAAGTGGGTCTCACGTTTGGGCAGAGCCGGAAGAGCCTTGGGGCACAGCGGACATTTCCACGCCCGAGCATCAGCTGGCAAGTCGGCCGACGGTGTGGCCACTGTGATCTGGGCCTTGCCAATCAGGTTTCCATATTTCTCCAATGGGTGACGGGTCTGGACATGATGTCGCTTCTGAGGGTATATGGCCTTAGTCGTACCATGGGCGTCATACTTGCACAGTGGGCAGGACCAAGTCACTTGGCTTGCTCGACCTTTTTTCAAAAACGGCATGTCGACCCCAGCGACTGAGGCTTTAGCTTGCTGACCTCGACTGGGTGTTTTCAGGCGACGTTTTCGGACCCCAAGTTTGGGTTTCAGGACAATTGCTTGGTTGGATCCCGCCCCTCTGGACTTTAAACCACAAGTTCTCATAGCTTTATGATCCTGATCCTGTTGTGTGTAAACAGAAGGAGTCTTGTGGGAACGGGATGGGTTTCGAAAAGCTCCG